AAAGTTTTATTTGAGACAACAAAAAAAATGTTGTCGCGAAATCTTTTTTTGTTGCGACCGCATGACATCTGTCGTCAATTTCTTTTGCGACGGCATTGCCTATGTCGCCAAAAAAATAGATTTTAGTTCTAATGTTTTTTGCCACGGTGTGGTGCCGTCGCAAAAAAAAGAAAGAAAACAAAACAAAACAAAAAAAACTTGTAATAAAATTATTAAAAATATTAAAATTATCTGTATTAAATGAAAAAAAATGAAAAAGAAACCAATAATTGCATAATAATATAAAAATTCCTGTATAGAAATAACAATTTCTCCATAATAAAAATATTCTTGCATTCATAACTGCACATCAGCAAAATTACCCCACTACATAATGTTCCATAATACAAATATAATGTTTAAATACGTAATTTGTTCACAATTCAAAATAACATAAACCAAGAACAAAAATTTTCCCCATCATTCTCCGTGGGCAACAAAACCAAAAGTTAGTCGCATTCTTCACAAGCATGCATTCCACAAGAAGCAAACTCCTACTCACGAAATATCTGAAAACAAAAAACAAAAATAATTAATGACAATATAATTATGTGTTAATATGTTAATTACAAAAATAAAAAAATAAAAATTTAACTACTATACAATTACAAAGATAATTAAGTAAATAATTTTGTCTAAACCGAAATTCAGCTCTAACTCCCAAACCGAGAACCCGATTCGAGTCTCGTCTTCTCCCACGAGTCTCTCGTGCCAAGGCGGTCGTGTGTGCCAAGTTTCATGCTAATCCGACGCCGTTTGGTGATTTTGGAGTGTCAACACCTTGAATTTTAAGTTTCTTCTGAAACTAGTTTGCCTAGACCAAAATCCGACTCTAACTCCCAAACCGGGAACCCGATTCGAGTCTCGTCTTCTCCCACAAGTCTCTCGTGCCTAGACGGTCGTGTGTGACAAGTTTCGTGCTAATTCGACGCCATTTGGTGATTTTGGATCGTCAACACCTCGAATTCTAAGTTTGTTAAGAAACTAGTTTGCCTAGACCAAAATTCAGCTCTAACTCCCAAACTGAGAACCCGATTCGAGTCCCTTATTCTCCCGCAAGTCTCTTATGCCTAGGCGGTCGTATGTGCCTAACATATATAAGAAAATCTTCTCCTCCACATCCCATCAGACATGGATAACTAAAGACCATAAACAGAGACACTAATTGATACCAACATTGCTCTCACATTTTCATAAACAAATCTAGTTAAGACCCACCTTCATGTATTGAGATATGTCTTTTCTCCTTGTGTAGACACCCCATTTTTGACCGACCTTAAGACTCAGACGTCACCGATTAAGCGCTTGGTGATGTTGCATAATGTGCTTGTTCAGAAGTTTCAGAGTCGCGGCTGTGATAAGAACTCACAATGTTTTCAAAAATTGATATCGTGGTTAGTAGAGGCCGGTCTATGACCGGGCGAGCGGGGGTGCTCACGAAGTGACCTTCCCCAATCATATCCAAGTTCCCGAGCCGAGGCAACTTTGGTGATGACGGACGCGTGGCCTTTTGGCACCGAGTCAGGGTTTCCTAAATTTCCCAAAATAAAATATTTAGGTGGCGACTCTGTATCTGGCAAAGCAGTCCATGTTTGGCACTTCTTTCAAAAATCAGTTTTCCTAAAAACGATTTGCCGGATTTGGACTCCTTTGGTTCAGATTAAGAACCGTGACAAACATTGCGAGTCCGAGCTGTAGCGAGGTCCCCCGCGGGCCTGTTACACCTTGTAAACTACTTCATAACATTTTTTTCTGGATTCATAAAAATTATAACAGCATCACAATATGTCAAGTGTTTCCCAAACATCTCTTATGGGTTTCAAGAATCCATCCCTAGATGTTTACCAATAATATTTAGGGTAAAAAACCCTAAATTGCATTTGTTGTTTGGAAAGAGAATTTTGGGTAACTTTGGTGCAGACTAGAGAAACAACAACATGGATAATGAATACAAGCACGTAGAAGATAACTAAAGCATCACAGTTAGAAATGGGCTTACCTCTATATCAAGTGATGGGTACTTATTTCTGAGTGTGTGTACCTGAAAACCAGATTTATGGACTGTGGAAATGAGAATGATGGAAAAAAACAAAAGGGATTGGGATTTGAGATCGTGAGAAACAAAAGCGGAGAAAGAAATAGGGGAATTCGGATAGAAATTGCGATAAAACGAAAAGAAATTTATTTTTTCTGTAGTTAATGAATTTTTTATTTTTTTTTAGTTACTAAGGTTGAAAATTTATTTGTTTCATTTTTATTTTAATGAAAAAAATTATTTTTTTTATTTATTTGGTAGAAGTAGGGGTAATATTTTAATAAAAAATATTTTCTGTTAAAATAAAGTTAATTTTTTGTGGTCAATGAAATTTTTTTTTTTGCGGTCCATTTTTTTTGAGTTACTAAAAATCAGGAACTAATTTTTTGTGGTAAAGCAGAGGGAGCGGCAGTAGTAGTGAAGGTGGTCGATAAGAGGTGATGGTGGTGGCAGTGGTGGTAATAGCAAAGGAGATTAGTGGTGAAGTTGTGGTAGTGGTAGAGGAGATGGAGTGGCGGTGGTGGAGGAGAGGTAATGGTAGTAGTAGTGGCAGTAATGGTGATGGTAGTAGTGGAGTGGTGGCGATGGTGGTAGTAATGGTAGTCGTAGAGGTGGAATAGCAATAGTGGTAGTAGTGGTGATAATGGAATGACATTTGCAGTAGTGGTGAAAGTGGTAGAGGAGATGGGTGGTGAGAGAGAGATAAGTGAGAAACAGAGGTAGAGAGAGAAAGAGAGAGACAAAGACAGAGTGATGAGTGAGAGAGAGACAAAGTGGTCGCTAAAAGTGCATTTTCTTGTAGTGAATCAATAAATCGAGAGGGAGCTTGGTAAATAGAGAAGAAGGAAGTGAGAAAGTGAGTAAGGCGAACATAGTAGGAGAGAGAGAGAGAGAGAGAGAGAGAGAGAGAGAGCAAAGTGGTCGCTAAAAGTGCATTTTCTTGTAGTGGATCGAAAAATTGAGAGGGAGCTCGATAAATAGAGAAGAGGAGAGAGAGAGAGTGAGCAAGGTGAATATAGTAGGGGAAAGAGAGAGAGACAGACAAACAGACAGGCAGACAGAGAGAGAGAGAGAGAGGAGTGATGAGTGAAAGAAAGAGAGACAGAGAGAGAGAGAGACAAAAAATAAGAGAGAAACAAAAGATGAGCGAGAGATAAAGAGAGAGAAAGAGAGCGAAAAGAGATGAACGAGAGAGAAACATAGAAAAAGAGAGATAGAGAGAGAAAAGAGATGAGCAAGAGAGATAGAGAGAAAAGAGATGAACGAGACAGACAGAGAAAGAAGAGAGATGAGAGAAATAAATAGAAGAGAGATAGAGAGAAGAGATATAGATAGAAGAGAGATAAGCGAGAGAGATAGAGAGAAGAGAGATGAGAGAGATAAAGAGAAGGGAGATGAACGAGAGACACAGAGACAAACAAAGAGAGAAGAGTGATGAGTAAGAAAGAAAAAGAGAAAGAGAAGAGAGATAGGAAAATGAAAAATAGGTGAAAAGATAAATATTATATCAAAAGAGTAAAACGAACATCGTTTTTTTATTTTTTATTTTTTTGTGACAAAAAAATACCGTTGCATTTATTCAAATAATTTTGTGACTATATATATATGAAGTCGTCTCAAAGTCACAATATATATATATTTTTTGCAACGGTACCTAATACAGTCGCAAAAAACTCATCTTTTTTTTTTGTGACTGTAGCTGGTGCGGCACAAAAACTCTATTTTTTCGCGACATCAATTTCTGCCGTCGCAAATACTCTCATTTTTCACGACAACATTTTCTGCCGTCGCAAATACTCTCATTTTTCACAACAGCATTTTCTACTGTCTCAAATACTCTATTTTTCCGCGACAGCAAATTGTGCCGTCGTAAAAAGTCATCTTTTTCGCGACAGCAAGTTTTACCGTAACAAAAAGTCACTTTTTGAGACGACAAGAATGTCGTCGCAAATGCTTTCGTCTTTTAAGTCCCTTTTTCTTGTAGTGTGACCTAATGCAAAATTATAAATTTCACGTCTTTCATCGTATCTCTTCCATCAATTACAGTACTCTTAGGTCATGTTTGATTCACAAGACTAATAGTGAAGTATTAATAAACTTATTAAATTAGTGTGATATTCATTATCCAATTGGATTAATATCTATTTGATTAATAATCTCACTCTTATCCCATTACTAATAATCCTACAAATTTGTTGGATTAATTATCTATTGGATTAATAATCCTAAACCAAAATATTAAAACAAACATAGGATAATTGAGCCCACGGATTAATAATCTCAATCCCATACACTAATCCACCCAATCAAACATGCCATTAAAACACTATATGACCATGCCCTAACATCACAAAATAACTTCTCAATAACCAACACAAAATCACAACTTCCTCTAAACAAACCCAAAATCATATATTGCAGTCCTCCTTGCAATCTCAACACTTACCACAAATTAAATAATTTTCTTATACCACCACAAAAGCCTATTTTGAGAATAAAGTTTTAAATTTTTTTAAATTACATCACATCTCTATTTTTTACACATTTAAAAAAAAAAATCAACTTTTCAACTCACTTATCAAGATAGGCCAAAATCATAACATTCTCTAAACCGACACAAAATCATTTGTTACATCCCTTCTTTACCGATCACAACATTGTGGGATGCTTATTTCAGCTTTCAGCTTAATTTAAATTATTTTGATGTGTTTGGTTTAGCTTAACAATGTAACTTATAGCTTTTTGTAAGTCAAAAATTAACTTATTCTTTAAGTGAGATAGAAGATGTTTAATTTATAAATCAAAAATCAACTTACATTTATAATTATAAACTATAAACTGTTAAAGCATAAGGTATAAATACTTTCCAACAATTCTATCCAACAAGTCAATAACTTCTCCAACAACAGTTACATGTTGAAACGGCAGACAGCGAGACCGCGTGACTAATAAGTGACGTGGTCCCTCCGCAACAATGAATACTTTCTTATCAATAATCTTCTTCTCCTTTAGATCTGCAATTCTGCTTCTTGCGAAAACCAAACCCTATCTTAGGTTTTCATCAAAATTTGGTTTTAATGGAAGGTAATGCCTTCCCTCGCTACTTCAGACATCCTATCCGAAATTTATTGCGAAAAAACGTAAAGAAATCCTCATCTTCGTCATCAACCTTACAATCGTCGTCGTCGTCGTCGTCGTCGATCTTACAATCGTCATCGTCCTCTGGTGCTTCTTTACCAGGTAAATTCGTATGTATCTGTGTATATACAGTCGATAAGTATGAGTGGTACACTTTTGATGTCTCCGATGATATTCGACACAACCAAACTCCTCCTCCTGCTAAATACATTAACTACCGTGTTCCTTTTCACGATGACGATGAATCCGGACTTGTAAATCTCAAACCTAAAGTCACTGCCAATATGGATTGGATTCTAGGTTGGTCAATTTTGGGTTTGACATTATATATTCTTGATGATTGGACTGGTGATTGGAGAGGATCGTCTGTTAAAAACGAAAGCAATCGAGTGGATCGAATTGATCTAGTTAGTACTAGGTCGAAATGGGAGAGAGTTCCTCAAATGCCTAATCAGATTGCTGTGTTGGCTCATACTTTTGTTCTTGCCGGCAAGTTTTATTGCCTGGGTGGGTTTCGATCCAAAAAGGGAGAGTTGGAGAGGGAATCGCTGTTTGCCATGGCTTACGACTTGAGCGTAAAAGCTGGTGACTCGTTACCGAGCCCCCCATGTATTAACCTTGATGAAATATTCTCAGGAGCTAAAGAGGTCCCCAACCCATGTTTTCCCTCTCAAAAGATGGATTTGGAGAGGCTGTCACTACGGGACAACAAATCTTCACTAGATGAAGAGGGCACCAACCCGTGTTTGCCCTCTCAAAAGATAGATTTGGAGAGGCCGTTATCGTTCCCCATGGCTCCCGACGACAGTCTATTTGGCTCTACATGGCTTGAAATAAGCCCAGCAGGTGAAGAGCTCGGCAACTCATATTCTCAAAACATGGAGTTGGAGAGACATAAACCGTGGGTCATGGCTTACGACCCGAGCCTAAATACATGGGAATCTCTACCTGACCCTCCAAGTTGTCCCGTTAAGGTTGACAGTATATTCTCAGCCGCTGGAGAGTTCCCCAATCCATGTATTGTGGTGGGTTCACCTGGGGATGGTCTCCAAATCTACCAAGTAAATGCCAAAAAGTGGGAAAAACAAGAGTTTAAAATATGCCCAAAGTTTGGCCCAAATGTGTTAACAGGGCCAGCTTTGGCTGTTGACAGTAAGTTGTATTGGTATTCAGTCCATGATCTAAGCCTAGTTGGATATGATTTAGTGACGTCAATGTGGTTTGTGGGCAATTTCCCTATCCATGACCATGGGGAGCATTTTGGAGTACGAGATGTTGACACTCCTCCACGCTTGGCTCATCTAGGTGGCGACATGTTTTGCTTGTTGTGGGTTTCTGTGTTGCCGCACAGGCGTATGAAGATTTCGGAGTCCAAAGATGACTATATTTCTCGCCTTCACTGTATGAAGCTTCGAGTTACCACTGAAAACTTTCACCCAGTGAATGGAATTATTCCCTTGGAGGTCTCTATCCTGTCGTGCCAATCTTACTTGGCTTCTGGATTGAAGTTTTTCCGTGGTGGCTTGGTGGTGTAAGCATCCTTTTACGTACCTATTCATTTTCACTCTTCTGTTCTTTTTATTTCTGTAATTATTTGTACCCCACTGCCATTTTTGCCGAGCTCAAACAATAAATAAATAAATTTTCAGATTAAAAAAAAAATCCAGAATGACTCATTGGGATAAATGTATCATGATGTCAAGCTACAACAAAAATGAAAGAAGGCAATACCAAATGCTTACAACCTTTATTTTCAACATGCCCTTGTTGTAGAATTAGTATTATAAGAATAGTATGGGCTGTCATTTACTCCAAAATTCAGTGTTTTTGGAGGTTATAAGCGAGCTGAGGTGAGAAGGTATTCTAATGCCAAAGTGAGAGGCGAAGGCTTCATCAAAGTGACGCGAACAGTAAAGATATTTATAAAAAAATATAGAACATAGGCAAAAAAAACTTACAAATTTTCAAAACAAGCTACATCCAATTCCAACATATCCAAATATCCATAAAAACCATTAAGCATCCGACAAAATCAAACATTTCCAAATACCATTGAGCAGCAAATACACAAGGCAGACAACATGTATGTCTACAACTTTCACCAATTATAAGACCCTAAACATCATTCTTCCTTTTAAGCAGTGGAACCTTGGCTAGGGGCAACCAAGGGCCTTTTGCCATGTTGATTACTATTAACAATATCATCATCCTTCCTCATCGGCATCCATCTCATCACAATCGGGCAACAAGTTCAATTGTTCCTTTGCTTGACTTTCTTGGTTATATAGTCTCTAATTTCATCTCTTACATGAGATGGACACCTTTTACAAGCAACCACATTTTATAACCACCGGGAATATGTTGTTTGAACTGGCTGGTAAACACTCCCATTCATTTATTTTTCATAAAAATTGTGAACAAACTTAGACAAATTTTGGGGATTTACCGTCTGAATATTGCCATCCCAGATCTTATCTATTACTTTTGCATGACTGCAACATCTAATCAATTATTAAAAATCAATAAACCGACTCATTGTTAAGAATATTCAAATCAAGATCACTTTGAAAAATAATTCAGCAATATTAATTATTCTAGCAAAATTACAGCCACAAAGCAACCATATAATTCAGCAAAATGGCAGCAATTCAGATAAGCAACAATACAATTCAGTATAAACTATTGCAAAGTAACCATACAATTCAACAAAATTACACCTTATCAAAGCTGTAACTGATGAGGATCCAACAGAACTGTAAGTGATTGAATGACAAGGTCCCAGCTGGTCAAAAGCATAGCAGCACACGATTCAAAATTGTAAACATTAATGCAATAGTTGTACCTTATCAATGATATTTTTTTTCTCAGCAATCATTCACTTTTCTCATAATTGGACTACAGCAAAATGAATTCTGAAAAAAGTAAAAAGGAAAAATCAAGTTTCTGGCTGAATTAAGAAGGCAACATTTCAAAAATTATAAAAAAATAAGAACTCACTATGCATTTACTGTTGCAATCTGCCCAGGCTGCAGAATGCCCCAAAAAATGAATTCTAGAAAAAAATAAAAAGAAAGGCCGAAGAAAGAAGAAGACAAAGTGCGAAGAAGTGAGAAGAACACACTCTGTTGTGTTGGAGATCAGAGTTGGTGTGGTGATCAACGTTGAAGGTTTGAGACTTTGTGCTTCTTTCATTTCTTTAGAAACATTGGTGTTCTGCTACAGCTCACAAATATTTATAGTTAGGGCTATCAAAAGGTCTGTTAAATATTTGGTACAATTATAAAAGTCAACAAAATGGATGGCGCCTCGCACTACAGCCTAATGCGCTCACTTTTCTCACCTAGGTGTCGGCTCACTATTCAAGCCATTATATGCACCATAGGGTCAACTTGAGTCCCTTCTCGCTAAGGGTTTTGCCTAAGCGTGCTTTTCACAACACTATTACAAATTTAACAGACTAACCTGGTATCATCTATGGCTCACGTGTCTTATAGTTAGGACCTATTAGCCTTGAGTGGGCCCAAGGTTATGCCGTGGGGCTCTTCTCTCGCCCATATTTTTACTTCTATTTGATTTTTATGGCTATCATTCTAATTGGGTGTTGATATTGTAGTGATGCTCATTCAAGATACTTTCATGCCTGACAACAGTTGGTGGTATGTTAGCATTTCCTTTATTTTTCCCATTGCAACACACCATTTTTTCTCCTTTTGATTGTAATCATTTTGAAACCTACTTTTATTGTTATGGTAGATTTTAGGTGTAGTGAACATCTAAGAAGCACTGATACTCCAAATCAGGTGTTGTAGTGGTGTCGGTCATGGGGACACCCCACATGGTGTTTCTTTTTATTTAATTAATTTGTTTTTAAGGGACACGCTAGAGGACACATTAGCTAGTTTTTTTTTCTTTCTTCTTTAGTGCTTTTAATGGATGATGGATATTAAATGTTTATTACCTTTTGCTTAGACTAAATAATTAATAGATCATTTATAAATAATACAAACAATAAGAGTTAGTTTTAGAGTGATATATTATTATTATTACATTAGTATTAATTTTTTTAAATTTTCATTATTTATGAATATAATGTTAATCTACATAGCAAATAAAAATATACAAAAAAAATATTATTATTGTTATCGCGACCCTGTTGTATCCCTCCCAATTTTTTTGAAATCATCGTGTCTCTGTTTGTGTGCTCATCTGTGTCGGTGTCCGTGTCCGTGCTTCTTAGGTGAACATTGTGGAATGTAATATAGAATGTTGTTGTACATTTGCAAACATTTCTATATGGCTATCATATGCGAGTTAGATAAAATTTCATTTTAAATGATGCATATATTTTATAGAAAAATCATAATTGACCATGGAAAAGAAAAACCCTTGAAATTCCTTGGCCTAACTTACTCTTAGAAATCCATTTCAACCCTAGCTCCTTATTCTTACTTAATCATTAAAAGAATGTTAGATTTGTCCCTAACAAGTACCGACACTTCTAAGAAGGTTGCATATTGTGCCAGATACTAACATGACACTCGTCTCACACTTTTCAACACCCGTCGAACACATCCAAACATGTCCACCTACTATTTTCTAAAATTTTCTAGACTTAAACATGCTTTAGTTTAGACAATTAGGAAACTAACATTTCTATTGTATCTGGATTTTAAAATTAGTATTATGTTACATTTTGTTATTATCTTTGAATTAAATACTCATAAGCATGGCATAAAATAATTATATATAGCATATAATAAACATATAATTTATGTACTTTCTGCGTCCTTCACATGTGGTGTCCTACTTTTGTTTTTGGAAAAATTTCTTTGTTGGCATGTCAAAGTTGTGCTTGTGTCCGTGTGCATGCGTCTTAGCTTTGTCCTGAAGACAATTTTCAGTATTGATAAAACGGGATTTGCATCCATTTTAAATGGTTGTATCAGATTGAAATTGCAAAAAGGGTGAAACAAAATTGATGCAAGGTAAAGACAAGCCATCCCCCAGAATGAAGCAACCAAAAATGAACATAACTGAGAGAAGTTGATTCTAAACATAACTAAGGCCTTCTAGCAAATGAGCAAGTTGAAACCACCCAAAATGCAATTATTCGGCCACCGGCACGAAACCTCTACAATAAGAGGTTGTCAGTGTGATGGTGGAAGAAGTTTTACCCTACTATTGGAAAGTGATGGAGCCAACTAGAAACTCATGAAGTAATCTAGTCATTAAGCGTTTAGCAGAATATGTCCTTTTAGAAGATTTAAAAAAATGATTGTAAGTAACATGTGAGGGATACAATTTTTTGCCCACCTCAGGCGTTAAAGACCTATCAACTTCAGCTGGACCAATGTTGGTTTTCGTCTATAAAGCACAAACACTTAAACTTAGCTCTTCTCCCATGTGTCTACATACAAACTGCTGTTTACTTTTCATAGCTGTTGTGCTGCTAATTAATGAGTGTAGATTTTTGGGATGGTAATTTCAGATATTGCTTTAGAGTTTGGGAGCCACGCTAATATGTTTGCATTTTCCTTATATATATATATATATATTATATGCTATTTTTTCCCATTTTGATTGTATCGAACTTGATGTTGGCGAGGTCCTTTTGAAGCATGCTTTCTATTCTTATGGTAGAATTAAGGTGTAGTAAAATTTTGTATTTCATAATTTAATGGCTTTGTAATTGATTTTGATTTTTGTTGTGTAGTAAGACATTCTTTTTTGTTTTAGGGGGAGAGGGCTGATAAAGTAGGATTCTTTCAGAACATGTTTCCATGTGTTTCTGGCAGCAGTTCACAGATTTTTTTTTCCTTGTGATTCTTTGGCATTCATCATCTCAGTTGTCCAATGCACAAGGTAAAATTTTCTGGATCGTTTATTTCATATTGTGATTGTTGGCATAAGGAGACTGTAACTACTGTGGTAAATTGTTTTTTTTTACCGTTATCTTAAGAGCAAATGTTGTAATTAAAGTGCAAATATTTCTGGTTATCATTGATGTAAGGTGGATATAATTACATTTTAAATTATGGGTAGATTTATAGACAATTATGGTTGACAAAACCCAAAATTCGTTATTGACATTGAACAATTTACTGGAAATGAAATTTGTTAAATGCTAGACTCATATTTGCTTGATCATGTGGTTGCTGTTGCATTTGGCCCCAAAACTCAAAAAATTTCAGTATCTATGTAACAGAATTTACGTTCCCTTTTGTAGCTGTATTAGACAATCTTTCAGTTTGGCAGTGATGATTTGTGCTTTATTGAAATTCTCTACAACTGCATCCATTTGTTAAAATCATTTTATAACGAAATTTTGTGAGCCAGGTATTGTACAGTTGATGTCTAATCGATTGCGTCCCTTTTAGGAAGTAACTCTGTGTATGTTGGAAATGTGATTTAGAAGAACTTAGAGTGGAATATATCAGATTCAATATCTTTGTAGTTGCTTGATGCAAATCAAAATACAGATGATATCATATGTTTAGACATTTTATAAGATGTAACAATCAGTTCGTGTAGTTGTTTCGGATGGATAATCTCTATCATTTTAGCTTGGCTTTAGATGAATAGATATACATGCAAGGATTTTGAATTTATGGTTCTATGTTTCAAATGCCCCGTGGTCTTTTTAATTAATGCTTATTTTTGTAAAATCTCATTTATCTAAAGCAGCAATAAGATCTGTTCGAGTTGGCCTGGAAATCAACCTGGTTGGTCACTAGGAGCCTCCACAATGGCATGAGTTGTTACTTTGACATTAACAATTCTTGTCAAGTTATCAAATCCAAAATCTATGATTGTTTCTTTGACATTATCAATTCTAGTCAAATTGGGTATGTTAGCTACCCTCAGTTCATTTTTCTCCTTCCAACAGGCTGGCTATTTTATCAAAGTCCTTCCCTGCTGGCTAGGTTTGAAGAGCCTTTGAGGCTCTCCAAAGAGTACATTGAACCTTCTGTGAAATCCAGCTGCATAAAAAAGCAATTCCCTTCCTCAAGATCTCTGCAGCCCAAGCCATTTCAGAAGAGCACCTCCCTCCTTTAGATTCGTCCATCATCTCTCCCCGATCAAGGTATGGAACACCATCTCTCTCCTCCCCCCCTTTATGCAACCCAAAAAACCCTTAATTTCCCTTTCTCCGTCTCCTCACCTCCCCATCCTGAAAAGTATTGAAAGATCACGAAGTGGAGAATCATCTGTATAGGGGGTTGAATTTACTGTGGTGCTTGGATATTGATGGAACTCCTTCCCCATTCTGAGTTTCCCCTTGGACTTTCTCTGCATCTCCGTCACTGTGTACATGTCAAACCCATACCTATCTACAACTCTCCCATCTCCTTGGCACATTGTCAAGGTGCGCCCATCCAAGGGTCAACACGTTGATGCCACACATATTTGTGTCCTTTGGGAGAGCCAAAGACATGCCTAAGAAGTTGTTGGTGCAAGTGCAAGCAATGGCCCAAGGCATTATGCAAGATAGTCGAAGACATGCCATGAAGCAAGCTAGCCACCAAGTAACAACTTTAGGCCAACTTTTAGAGGGTCAAATGTAATCTTTTTGCCTTGTAAATTTTTATGTAAATACCTTAGTATTAAAGGTGTTTTGAGTCCAAGAGTTGTAATTTTTCTATTTTTGTAGAATTATTAAAAATCCATTATGACTCCTCAAACATAGTGGATGTTTCCTCCTGCCAGCTAGGAAATGACTTAACAACCTATATATAAGGAGGGGGTACCCAAGTGTTGAATCAGACCACTTGTGCCTTTAATGTACTCCAACCTAGCTTATGGTAAGGCAATTTTTGTAGCACTTTTAGTGCATTGTTCAACTCTTGTAATGTCTTTTTTTGAGTAATGAAAAGTTCATTTTGCCTTTACATTGTGCAAAGCCTTTCAATTGTTGCTTACATTAATTCTAGCTAGTTGATTGCTATTGATTCTAGTGCTTATATTCCTGCTTTTTCAAATCTAGATGTTCTCATTGCTAATAGAAAGGGGGTTAGGTCATGTACTCAGCATCCTATTACTAATCATGTCTCTTATTCTCATCTGTCTTCCTCATATAAAGCTTTTCTGTCTAAAGTGCCTTCTGTAAGTCTACCTACCAATTTTCAAGATGTTCTCTCTATTCCTGAATGGAAACATGCCATGATGGAAGAGATAAGAACTCTCAACAAGAGTGGCAGTTGGGAGTTAGTGGAGTTACCTAGAGGCAAAAATCCAGTTGGGTGTAAGTGGCTGTACACAGTAAAACACAAAGCAGATGGTTCCATAGAACGGTACAAAGTAAGACTGGTTGCCTATGAAGCACGGACACGGACACGCATACGGACACGGACACGGACACGGGACACGGCAATTTCTAAAAAATGGGGACACGGACACGGCAGGGGACACGGCAAATTTTTTAATTTTTTTATAAATATTTTTATTTTAATACATATTAATTATTTTATTTATTTATTATATTTTTAAATAATGTGTTGTAATTAATTATTTTATTTTACATACATGTATTTATTTTTTTATTTATTAATATGTATAAGTATATATTATCTTATAATATGTATTATCCATTATCTAATGAGTATATTTATGTTATATAATAACTATTATATAATATATAATAAAATAATAATAGTTATTAGTTATATATATTATATATAGTTATTATATAATAAAATAATAATAGGTATTAGTTTATATATGTTATATAATAGGTATTAGTTATATATATTATATATGAATATATAATAATTATAATAGTTATAATATCAAGACATGAAGACAGACGGGAGAGAACCGAGAGAGAGGGAGACGATCGCGAAAGCGATCAGGATCAGAAGCGAGGGAGAGAGAGAAGGCGAGAGAGAGAGAGCTCTGCGAAGGCGAAGGGGCTGGATCGTCGAAGTAGAATGGGGCTCTGGATCGTCGATCGAAGTCGAAGGGCTCTGGATCGTCGTCGACCAGGTTTGTTCTCGTTTTCCCCCTTTCAGTTACTCTTCTCGCCGTGTCCATGGCGTGTCCAGATTCGGACACGCGTGTCCCCTGCAAAAAAATAAATTAAATTAAGGGGACACGCCAGATGCCGTGTCCCGTACGTGTCCCCGACGTGTCCCCGTGTCCCCGGCGTGTCCCCGTATCCGACACCGCCACGGTTTCCATTTTGCCGTGTCTATGCTTCATAGCCTTTGGCAATGCACCTAGTGGTGGCATGGAATTCACTAGGGCGCGTGTGCCCGAGCCCCGTGCCTACGGTGGCGCCCGAGATACCAAAGAGTTAGACAACTTTCTTTTTGATATGGAGCAATACTTCATAGCTATGAAAGCCGATGCTAAGGAGACAAGGATTTCTATGGCCACAACGTATTTGTCCGGTGATGCCAAGTTATGGTGGCGGACTAAACATAATGAGATACAACGCGGCTTATGCGCAATTGAGACTTGGGAGCAACTTAAGCTCCAATTCTTCCCTGAAAATGTTGAGTCTAATGGCGGGCGTGCTTTGTGGGATCTCAAGCACACCGGCACTATAAGAGATTATGTGAAAGAATTCTCTAGGCTTATGCTAGACATCAAAGATATGTCAGAGAAAGACAAGCTCTTCTTCTTTCTTGAGGGATTGAAGCCATGGGCCAGAGTTGAACTTCAAAGGCAAAGAGTGCAAGATTTAGCCCATGCACAAACAGCAGCTGAATGCCTTATGGACTACGCCGAACCTAAGCAACGGGATAGTGGTTCCCTGCGCAAGAGCAGGGGAGGTGGAAAGTCCCAAGGCTATGGCAAACCTAAGAGTGGGGGAACCAACACTTCTACATCCAAAACCCATTCGGGTGGAGGACAATGGCAACAGAAGAGCTATGGTGACAAGGCACAAGCCCCTCAACAATTCTCTACAAGCAAAACAAAAGGCTCTATCTCTTGTTTCTTATGCAATGGGCCACACCGGTTATCTGAATGTCCACAAAAGCGTGCCTTGAATGCTCTAGCAACTGTGTCTAACCATGTCTCTCAACCAAGTGATGATGACAGCGAGGAAGAAGACGTGCGGTCTAAGCGAAGTGGCAAGAGTTCTAAGGCAGCTGGCTCTAGAGTGGGAGCCTTTCATATGATGAATGCCATGGAGAAGAAGGCTTCTATAGGGAGGCCTAAGAAGAATGCCAAGAGTGGCAAAGTGGGCAAGCATTCAGATCCCAAACAACTTGTGGAGTTTAAAGATGAAGGCAAAGGGAAGAAACCCATGTATAGTAGGGAATCATCAGGCAAGTTAAACAAGAACAAGTCATCCAACAAAGGTTTGATGTTTGTGGATGTAAAACTCAATGGGAAGCCCCTTCGTGCGTTGATTGACACCGAGGCTACCCACAACTTTGTTGCAGGACTGAAGTTGAAAGACTTGGGCTATCTTTAGAGAAGGATGGCAGCCACATCAAGGCGGTTAACTCGGTAGCGCAGCCTATCTATGGGGTTGCAAAATCTGTTCATTTGAAGGTCAGTACTTGGGAAGGAAGAGTGGATTTCACCGCAATACCCATGGATGACTTCCAAGCCATCCTTGGGTTGGATTTCTTGAGAAGCACAAAGACGGCAGTCATGCCTTATTCTAATAGTATGTGTGTCATGGGGGATAAGCCATGTCTCATTCCTACTATGGCCACCAACAACAGTGACCGGTTTGTCTCAGCTATGCAACTCAAGAGGGGTGTTAGGCATGGTGAGCAAACTTGGGTTGCTGCATTGAAGTTAAATGAAGCTCTTGAATCTACTCCTGTCCCAGCCACAATCAAGAAGGTCTTAAGGCAATTTGCAGATGTTATGCCTGAACAGTTGCCTAAGGAGTTGCCTCCACGCTGAGGTGTGGATCATGCTATCGAGTTAATGCCAGGGGCAAAACCACCAGCTCGTGTGCCATATAGAATGGCTATTCCTGAGTTAAATGAGTTAAGGAAGCAGCTTACAGAGTTATTGGAAGCAGGCTTCATCAGGCCATCTAAGGCCCCATTCGGTGCACCTGTCTTATTTCAAAAGAAGCATGATGGTAGTCTTCGCTTATGTGTGGATTATCGGGCACTCAACAAGCTGACCATCAAGAACAAGTATCCCCTTCCTCTCATTGTAGATTCATTTGATCAATTGAGCAAAACGAGGTATTTCACAAAGCTAGATCTTCGATCGGGGTACTATCAAGTAAGAATTGCCAAGGGAGACGAGCCTAAAACTACTTGTGTTACTCGTTATGGCTCTTATGAGTTTCTTGTCATGCCATTTGGCTTGACCAATGCCCCAGCAACATTCTGCACCATGATGAATGAAGTTTTTCAAGAGTATTTGGACCAGTTCGTGGTAGTATATTTGGATGACATTGTAATTTATAGCTCCAGTTTAGAAGAGCACGTGGAGCATCTTCAGAAGGCCCTTACCAAGTTGAGAGAGCACAAGCTTTATGTCAAGCTAGAGAAGTGTTCTTTTGCCCAAGTTGAGAGAGCACATTGTTGAGCATGGATGCATCAAAATGGACCAAGAGAAGGTCAAGGCTATTCAAGAGTGGAAACCACCTACAAATGTCTCAGAGTTGCGGTCATTCCTTGGATTGGCTAATTATTATCGCAAGTTTGTTGAAGGCTACCCAAGACTAGCTTTCCCATTGACAAAGTTGTTAAAGAAGGGCAAGCCATATGTTTGGGCAGAGGAGTGCCAACAAGCCTTGAAAGAAGCTATGTCAAGAGATCCTGTTCTTACTCTACCAGACTTAGGTAAAGCATTTGAGATACAAACTGATGCATCTGATTTTGCTTTGGGTGGTGTTCTTTTGCAAGATGGTCACCCAATTGCCTATGAGAATAGGAAGCTCAATGATGCTGAACGGAGATATCCAACTCACGAGAAAGTGTTGCTTGCAGTAGTGCATTGTCTGAGGACTTGGAGGCACTACATCTTGGGCTCAAGGTTTGTTGTGAAGACTGACAACACGGCGGTTAGCTATTTCTTAACACAGCCCAAGCTAAGCGCACGACAAGCACGGTGGCAAGAGAAGTTGGCAGAGTTTGATTTTGCCTTAGAATACAAGGCCGGTGCCACCAACCATGTTGCTGATGCACTAAGCAGGAAGGCGGAGCTTGCCGTGTGCCATCATGTATACTCACTTACTTCTATTTCAACTAGCCTCAAGGAGAAAATCAAGGCTTATTTAGACAAGGATGCTATGGCAGAGAATCTTATGAACCTTGTCAAAATGGGCAAGACTCGCCAATTTTGGGTGCAAGATGGACTTCTTATGACAACAGGCAACCGCATATTTGTACCCAGGGCTGGTGACTTGAGAAAGACACTTCTTAGGGAGTGCCATGATACACTTTGGGCAGGACATCCGGGGTGGGAGCGAACTTTGGCCTTGGTGAAACAAGGATATTATTGGCCCCAAATGCGTAATGATGTGAAAGATTATGTCCGCACTTGTCTCACTTGCCAGCAAGACAAGGTTGAGCATAAGAAGAAAGCAAGCTTACTTGAACCTTTGCCCGTGCCTAAACGTCCGTAGGAAAGTGTATCACTTGACTTCATCACTGGATTGCCTAAAGTGGGAGATATCGGGACTGTCTTGACTATTGTGGACCGGTTCTCCAAACATGCCACCCTTGTTGCTGCCCCAAAGTATGTTTCAGTGGAGGAGACTGCCCAACTCTTCTTCAAGCACATTATTAAGTATTGGGGTGTGCCTAAAAGTATTGTTAGTGATCGAGATACACGCTTTGTTGGCAATTTCTGGACGGAGTTATGCAAGCTTCTTAGGTCACAACT